ACCATAATTTAACCTTACTTGTGTCTTGCATTACATTTATCGGCAAAACAAACGATAATTATTTTTATTTTATTTTGTTAAAATACTGTCTTACTTACAAAAGCGAGTTTACTAACTTTGTTCTCTCGACTCTCGAGTGCAAACAGCTGATTAAGTTGGATGCCGATCTCGATGTTTAAAAACATTAAACAGTTTATAGTACACTTCTGCTGTCGCTTTCTTTTCCCAAATAGTTTTTTTTTTTAAGTCAAATAATAAATATATAATTAAAATAGTCATATATTAACCATCTTCTTATGTAATTTTAGAGATGAAGTATCAAATGAAAGCCTAATCAGATCCCGATGCGACAATAGGTCAATGTCAAACACTTATTTTTCAAGTTTTTTTAAAAATAAAAAAAAACAGATTTCTTTAACAGTCTTAATTTTTTACTTCGATTTTACTTCATTTTAAACACTAATTGCGTCTTTATAAGGCGATTCAATTTCTCTGGGTCTAATTATCGAGTCCAATTGCTACTCCCCTTTTTTTTGAGAGCGACACTGAGCACTAGCGACAGTTTTCACTGGTACAGCGGTACATTCTAATAATTGTCTCTCTTTAAAAAAAACGACCAGATGTTTTATGTTGTATACGTAGAATGAAAATGAAAATCTTTCTTCAGCCACCGTCTAATCAAACGTTTTTAGATCACAAAAATCGGTAAAACCAGTGGCACCTGTGTTTACAATGCGTCCCCCGTTGTCGATTGTCTATTTGCCCATGCAATGTCTATCCCAAATGGTTTCTCATATATATTTTTTTCCAAAATTTTTTGAATCTACTTGGCTAATTTTTGGTTGGAGTGTGTCTTGATGATTTAAAGATAATTTTCCATTTTTTTCCGCTTCAATAATATTTTTGTACAGAATTGTGATCTCTTTATGTTTTTAGGAGTTCTGCATGTGTTTGCAAATCAGTGGAGGGATTGAGCTTTTTGCTACATTATGTCTATAAAAATTTTTTTATATAAAACAGAAATTTTATTTTGCGATGAAACTCCTTGATTACAATGCTTTGAAAATCCTTGCTACATATGTACATAAGTCAAAAACACTCATTCACCATTTTAAAATATGTTTGTTGTTTACTTGTTTTCACGAAAAAGAAAAAAAATTGCGACACTGTGATTTATATTGATTCTATAACAAGGGGAATCCTACTCCGAGGAAAAGAGGGGGTATTTGGCTCTGGTTTGAGAATTCCCTCGGGTGGAAATCGTAATCTTGAGTAGAATTTCCTAGGGAAAACTGGTATGTGGGAAATCCTACTCTACAACACTGGTATTTCGCAGTTTTCTATACTTGCAACCAGAATCTTCCATTCTGTCCAAAATATTATTATTCATCTCTTCAGTTCTTTAATGCTGCGAAGCAATAGACCGGAACAGAACTTCCTCGTTTGTTGGTTACTATTGTCTCACTTCCAATTCCTCATAACACATCTTACAGTTGTGATTTTGTTCATTAGTGACCAAGATGTGTTTTCTTCACATCATAACATTTTTGGCAGTTATAAATGCGTATGGATACCTTTGCTTCGGTAAGATGATAATATAAACAGATAATTTCTAATTAGTTAATGTTATCCGTATTTTTTCATAGAAGAATATCAAAAGAAAAGGATAATGCTGTTTAAGACAAGTATATGTACAATGGAATCATTGTCGTGGTGATAAATAGAGCTTGTATTATTAATTAACTTTTTACTTTGATTCTAAACAGAAAATAAGAAAAATATATTTGGTTTTTTAAAATGTTCTATTTACGGAATATATTAGTATATATTTTAGCGTTCCTTATTTCGTCGATAGTGATATATAAACCATGTTAAATCCATTTCACAAAAAGGATGATCCGAGAGAAAGATATTCTTAACATGTAGTAAAATATTGCGGCATTGTATTAATTTTATACCTTTTCTATATACATGTATTATTATCAAGATATATTGTTGAACTATTTTGATAAAATAATATTTGGAGATTAAACGAATAAGTGCATTATTGATACAAATGATTTTATTTTTAACTGTTGCATTTATCACTGAATTGCTTTTATTTTACCTAAATAAGTTTACAAAAAGTGCATTGACTATGGTATCAGTTCTTCAACACTGGCATTCAATTGAATACTTTTAACAATTTAAAAAGAACTCTTGACAAAAGTATATGCAAAATATTGGCACATACAGAATAAATCTTCAACAATAAATCTTTTATTAAAATTGCTATCCATGATAAACTCCTTACAATAAAATGACAAAATTTTACAATAATGACACAATAATGACAAAACTATGCTCGAGGTTTTTTTTCCAGCTTTACACAAGCATATCGCCGTGGACGCACTGCTAAATTAAATGTCCCGATTTCAGATTTTTTCTAAAGAAAATTTGACCGCAGAAGGTAGAGTTTTCTAAATAGAAATAAATCATGATTATTGAATTTTATCTCTATAGGTTTGAGGTTTTATGTAGCCTATTCTTTTTAGAATAAATGTTATGTATTTTTATACTTTTATCCCTTTGACTTAGGTTAAAATAAAAAATTAACACGTGTTTCTCCGCTTTGTTTGTAAAAAAAAAAATCTGAATTTAAACAACTTAAAGCCAAATATATGTAATTGTTGTACCCCTTCTTTATAAATATCTTTCTATATTTTTTTAATCTAAAGAAATATTCAAATAAATGTAAAGATTTTCATATGTCTAACAATATTTTTGATGACCAGTCTGTTAGTGCTACGTGAGAATCGATAGGCTGCAACGTCACTGCTAATAGTAAGTAATTAGTCGGCTTTCAATGTCAACAACACAGAAATGGTGGAAGCTTCAAGTGTAACCGCTGATGCTATTTGAAACATTACATTATGGAAATAAATAATGCTTCGTGTAAATAATATATATTTTATAATAATTTTAATGATTTTTTTTTCATTCTTTGTTGTCCTTGAGCAAAAATATCACTTATAAAGAAATCGGGTATACATATGAATAAATATGTTTAAAATTTTAGTGTTTCTATCTTAACTGAAGGCTATAATAAACCAGTTATAGACTGCAATTGGGGCAACATATAATTTGTTAGATTTAAATGTGAAAATGTTGTCAAGTCAATTACTGTATATTAAAAATAACATTTTGAGAGAGAGTAGGTTTCTGAGCACAATCCACGACTTAGAAATGTATTTCTTTTTAGCGGCTTTTGTCAGTCGGTTATATTTCTTGTGTTTTGTGTGTTTTTTTTTTTTTTTTGTGAGGGGAGGGGGGGGGGTCTTTGCTACTCAAGCTACTTGAGTTTAAACTACATTTACTTGTAGTCTCATGTTGTGTAAAGGAAATAACCGACCATGACATTCAAAGAATGTCTCTTGGCACACATGTAAAACACAATCGAGGTTGTTTTGTCAGAGTTGGTCAAAAGCCTTTGAAGTCGCCAAGAAATGGTAAAATATTGATGACTAAGCGATATTAAACGATCAACAATTATGTTCTCTCATAGGCTGTATTCTAGAAACTATCCTTGTCTCCGCTAAAATGTAGAAGACATATTCTTCAAATATGTTTCAATGATAAAAAAAAGAGATTTAAAAAAGAGAAAGAGGGAATTTTAGCCGAAATATTAGATATTTTTATCATTACTACATTAGCTACACATTTTATAAATAAATTTGATTTTATGCACAAGATGAATGTGAAAGTAATTAATGACGCATAATTAGATACGATGGACAATCCCTTGTTTATACATGGCATCATATCTTATGTGTGAGATGTGTTTCAGTATAATTTGATTTGTTTCCAAATTGTTCATGTTTGTCGTGTTCATGTGGAATAATTATGAATTCCCAAATTCTGATATTTTAAAGTTCTGTTATGTTGGGAATGAACATTAGGAAGATGCATATACTTTCAACATTACGAAAAATATAAAACAAATCGAACGCCTTTTTGTGTGCTGATCATGAAATGCACTGAGCTCCACGGGTATTTGTTGTCCTAAGCGCATTAATCTTGACGCCCAAATTATTACTTGGCTAGTGATACCTTTAGAAAACATGTGTATCTAGATGAAAATTAACTCGGCAACATGCGCCATCCCATTGTTTAAGTTTTATTAGGTGATTACACCTCCTATACGTTCGCGGATTCAACGATACCATAATATCGAGTATATACGCGATTTCACGGATAATATCCAGGTTCGAGTATTCTCTTTAGATCTGTTAAAAGAATGAAAGCGCCAGTTTAACGGCCCTTTCACCGACAAATGAAGCAGCATTTGAATTGTGTCGCCATCTCGCCATTTGACTGCTTCGCACATGATGTCACACACAAACAACGAAGAATTTATCACGTGAAAATACAATATGTATCATGTGTGATGTTAAAGCTATTTTTGTAATATCATGTTAGCATAAAATTCGTTTTTGACAGTTGCTTTCCTTATTAATAAATGAATCATCATTATCTTGTTCTGTATATTTTTCATTCGAAAGGTCCACATCTGTTTTGAGCACGTTTTACTTTCAAACAGATTCGAATTTTGTGTATTTGTGTGCCTTTGTCATGCACAGAAAAGTCAAATAATTCATGTGCTGCTTGATTTGTCGGTGATAGGACTGTTTAACTGGTGGTAGCATCCTTTTAATGACAACTAAGTGGTAGAAGAATCATCTCTTTACTGAATTTTTGCGTCTCGGGAGTTAGCTCCGCGAAAAAAACTGTTAAAAGTAGACAGAGTTGCGACACCTAATACGTCCACATTCACAAACAGCTCTTCTTCAACGGTTGATTGATTGATTGTATACTGTTTAACGTCTCTCTCCAGAATATTTCACTGATATGGAGACGTCACCATTGCCGGTGAAGGGCTGCAAATTTGGGCCTATGCTCGGCACTCGGGGTCATTGAGCAGGGAGGGATCTTTATCGTGCCACACCTGCTGTGACACGGGGCCTCTGTTTATACGGTCTCATCCGAAGGACCGCCCCATTTAGTCGCCTTTTACGACAAGCAAGGGGGTACTGAGGACCTATTCTAACCCGGATCCCCACGGGGTTCTTAAACGGTTGATAATTAACCACATATTTAACTGCTATTCCTGAATGTTTCTTCACCTTTCTTAAACGGTTGAAAGGTGAAGAAAACATTTCAGGATGTTAGTTAAATATGTGGTAAATTATCAGATGTCTTTAATAAAGTTGAGAACATACGATAAATAAAACTTGAAATGAGTAAAGCACTGGCGCAAATCGAAGATTATTACAGCACTTCATTGACGCCCGCCTAACGTACTGGTTAGAGCGTCTGCTCCAGAGTCGGTAAGTCAGGAGTTGATCCTCACGCCGCGGACTCGAATTCCACTTTACTTGGGACATGGACAACGGTACATCGGATGAGACTGTAGAAACCGAGGTCCCGTGTTGCTGGAGGTGCTGGTACGAGAAAGATCACTCCTTCCTCTATGGCCCCAAGTGCCCAAAGAAAAAGTTTGTTCCCCACCGGCTAGAGGGACTTTAAGTAATAATACAATTGCAATTATAATGTTTGGATTCGAGCTCTTTGCTTAATATTTTCGAATTTTTCCAAGCAGAAAGCTACAGTTCTGGAAAGGATCTACAGTACACATACGCTGTAATTTGTAGATTACGTGCTTTATGCCGACACTGAAAGAAATGACATGTTAATTTGTCCAGTGTGATAGAAAGAGTCGTGATAAGTAATCTTTGTGTTCACTACCTGATAGTGGGAGGTGGAGTTGTGGGTGTAAAGAAACTTAGATAACTAGTGAAATTATTGATTTATACTAATGTTAATCTAGTAAATCTACCTAATACCTAGTACAAGTACTTTAAAGGTAGTGATTGTATGGACAGTAAAAATACATCTTCTTAGTTACTTCTATTTTCAATGGATTATATATTTTGAGTTACCGGTATATGATTAGCAATCTGTCGCAAAAATTCTGTTTTCATTGAGCTCATGTTTATGCCTTTGTGATATGTTTGACAATAACAAAAATGTCACCTGATCAGACATTCTCGTCTTAATTGGAGTTATTTCTTTTATCTCAGTAATAAATGTGTGAACATCCTCTGTAGGACAATAGATTTTTTTCCTGTGCCATGGGTGCTAATTTGTAGTTTAGAATATTAATATCAATGCCCATGTTTTGTTTTCCAATGCACGTCGTTAAACCACCAACATATCCAAAATGTGAAATTACGTGTAAATTTATATTATATATCAGGTATTCCTGCTGAGAAAGGTTTGATAATTGGAACGTTCAGTCCCCCTTCGGTAATCACAGTCAGAGAAATACCTATAAGCCACAGGGATTATTTCAACAACGCTTTATTTCCACTATCTACTCGCTGGTCTCGGAACGGCATCACCTCTGATCCAAAGAAAAAGGTTGTATTTTTCTACATCGGAGACACCATTTACGAATACCAAAATTTTTCCATCTGGCAGCAGCTGAATATATCTCACTTTTCAAAACCATTCAAAGGAAGGTCTCCATCATTTGGTCAAATCGCTTTTGATTATGTTTCAAATAATTTATACTGGTGTGATGCACAGATGAAATGGATCGCCATGAAACCAGCATACAAGGACGACAATTTAATGCTTAAAATTGTCGTACACAACAATCTGGGGTTCCCGCAAGGATTAGCTCTTGATCCTGAGGAGGGGTAAATGTATTAAAGATTTACTAGTATTTACTCCGTAATGTAACTTTAACTTAAGGAGTATGGCGTAAAAGCATACATATAGAGATAATTCGATAAGACTTAAAATATATCAGGTTGTTATAACTTCACAAAAAATAGATGTATTGTCCAGTGAACTAGTAATGCTAATTGAGACTCATACGCTTGTAAAGTGAAAAAAAAATTCACTGACATATATACGGTTATTTTCTTTCTATGAAATACTATGTTTACATAATCTTTATTTATCTGAGATGTAAAGAGAATTAACAATACTCTTTTTGTAAAGATAATATTTATTGAATATTTGCGTATCTGGTCGCGGTGAATTTTTTTTTTTTTTTGGGGGGGGGGGGGGCCGCCGGGTCGTCCCCCAGCAGTGAAAAAAAGAAGTGGCGATCCCAAGTGGGCTGAATTGTGCACTGGGTAGTTACTTCACAAAGGCACAACGCCACGAACATAAAATGCAAAAGAAGGTATATTCAATGGACCAATATCCCATTGACAAAGTTATCAAATATAAATATACGATATGTACGATATGGGCCAATATCCTATTAAATGTAGTAACTTTACAGTCCTAAAGTTATTTAACGGGAAATTCCATTAACATTACATATAAACTGAATTAGTGATACATAACATAATTGCTCAAACATGAATCCGTAATATACAAAAAATTGCGCAAATAGCACCACAAATTGAACATCTATTTGAGGTGGGTTCCGACGATAACGCCACATGCATGCAAGTGCATCTGCCACCAATGAGTGATCCATATATTCGTGACGACGTCGTCAACCCACCTCAAACGGTCACCGCTGACCAGTGCCTTCCCCAGAAAATCAATATGGCTCCTACTTATTTACATGACAACATAACAATTGTTCTATTGCTCCTTGTATGTTGTTCATGATCAAATCATTTCCTAAAGGTGACAAATGGACTCCATCCCCATCGAATAGGTGCGCAAGGTTGCTGTTAAACGGTGGGTGTTTAATAAATGATCCCCCGTGCAGTTGTTGTACGAATTGCCAACCTGTCTTGCCAATCTTGTTATGGCTTTATTCATAGAGCGCATATTTGAAGAAAAGCGCAATACCAAACTAGCTTAGCATCAGGATCCGGAAATACTTTGCATTTAACATTCATGTAGTATGTGTTTGATTAAACATAGCAGGCAGCTTAACTTTGTTGAACCAATTGCAATATTGTTAGTCCCACAATGAATTATGATAATTACCGGGAAGCTTCCTAGATTTAAATTCTTTAAATACATGAGCTTAGGGAAAAGATCTAAGAGTTTCATGCCGCTGTAACCTTGCCATCAAATGTTTGTTTGTGGTACGGAAAGGTTCATGTAACCCCTCCTGCTGGTGGCAGCGACTACAGCCCTCTCGATGATGGAAGATCCTTGGATCCACACGTTTACTGAAACCACTTGATTTGTATCAGCATTGTGTAAATAACCACCCAAATAAGCACTGTAAAATTATAAAATAAAAAATAACCAATAAGCCTAGTGACATGTATAAGGTTGAATGTGGGGGGAAAGGGTGGGGGGGGGGCTACCTGATGTAAGATTTGTACGTGTACAACGCCAACAACCCCAACAAATAGCTTCTTCTGATGAAACCCTGTTGAGCTTACATAGTTGCGGTCCCTATCCTGAAGGAAATGTGATTTATAGCGCTTACTATCTATGCCCAAAATGTTTAAAGTTTTTGATAATACAGCGGAATACTGGTAGTAAGTTAAGGTTTGCTCAGAGTAAATACAGAACAGCGGGCCCGGGACGCTAAGACGTACCTGTAGATACATGTATCTTTGCTTTTACTGGGCAAGATAATTGTTTCGTAGCATTAATGGTCAGTGATGTTACAACGCCGTATTGGTCAGTTTTTGAATGCTTGATAAGCAACTGAATAACTTATTTTGAATTTCCAGATGCTGGACTTGAATAATTTACTACTTAAATTTCCTTTAGAAATGGTAAATTCTTTTACTCTTACCAAGGCATGAAAAGCCAGTGAAAAAGCAGCTCTTAACAAGTTAGTTTCGTAGGAATCATGGCATACTACATGTAGCTTATCAAGAATTTGATTAAGAATGTCTAAAGTCATGGGCATACGGATGTCTCTTTAACAGTTTGCCCTTTTAAAACCCTCCAAGAATTTACCCACCAAGAAATGATTGGTGCTTTCACTACCCCCTAAATGTTTACACTGAAAAGCGATTGCGGATACGTATGATACGTATGCCCTTGCTGTGGCCTGCTCATACCCATAAATTAATAAATATGCTATAAACATGAAGATAAGTTGGCTTGGTGGTGGCCATAAAATACCCTGTGTTGCTTGCTAATGATGACATGAAGAGGCGGTTTATTTGAATTGTGAAAGCATGCTGTGAAGGGGGCTGGAATTGCCCGGGATTGGCGTTCTGCTGTTGAGGCTAGGTACCTGAATCTGTGCCACTGTTGACGAGATATTACATCAGCTATTGCATTGTGTTTGCCAGGGATGTTTTGAGCTTTGAACTGTTTCTTGTTTTTTAAGGTGACGAGCATAAGTGGTCTAATGAGGGACATGCCTCTATCAGATGACAATGATTGTTTATTAATAATGTGAACTACAGCTTGGAAGTCTATGTGTAAAATTGTTTTCTTATTTTGAAGCCCCTCAGTCAAGATTGTAAAAGCCAAGACAGTTGGTACCAATTCCAAAAAGGTTATGTATGTGGGTATCGGTGTACCAGCCCAACGGTTTTGCCATTGAAAATAAGCCCATTGTCCCCTGAAGTAGGAGCCACATCCTAATGAAGCAGGCAGCCCCTCAACTATCTGTGAAAAGCTGGGGGTGCCCTGGGAACTCTATTCAGTATCAAGGAAATAAACTACCCAATTGAAGTTGCTTAAAAAATCTAACCACAACACCACATCTGCATGTCTAGTTTCATTGGTTTGGTGATGTTAACATGGTGATAAGGTTTGTACGTGCACTTGCCTATCATCGCATTATAAAAACGCCTATTAAAAGCTCGGCTACCTGGAATGGCCTTAGCAAAAAAAATTCAATTTCCCCACTATACTCTGAAGAGATGCTATTGTAATTGTTCTTTTTCCAGGATTTGCGTTTTGCCTGTATCGATTTCAAAACCCAAAAATATCAGGCATGTAGTGAGCCCCTGTGTTTTATCTTGATTAATGGGAACGCCCATTTCCGCATGAGACTTTGGAATGCGTTTAGCTGAATAAGACATTGACTAGTGCCTACCCTTCCAGCAAAAATAAAGTCGTCTAAATAATGGTTTGTCAAGTTCAATCTTGATTGTTTCCTAACCAGTCATTCAAGGAACGATGAAAACGTTTCAAGGATTTTACATGATATTGAACAACCAAAGGGCAACATTTTGTCAATATAATAAGCTCCCCTGAAAAACAGGCCCAGTAATTCATGATCCCATGGATGCACAAGTATTAAGGGAAATGCGCTTTTGATGTCTGCTTTTGCTATTAGGGCCCCCGCCCTTATCAACTTGCTAATTGTCTGTACTACTGTGTCAAAAGATGTGTATTTAACAGTTGATTCGCTAGGGTCTATGTCAGAGTTAATGCTGGACGACGGTGGGTAGGATAAATGGTAATCACACGCCAACAGCCATCGCTTTTAGGTACAAATCCAATGGGAGATATATGAAGATTTGGCAATGGGGGATTTAAAATTGGACCCACCATTCGACCCTCTCGCACTTCCTTAAGTATCTTATCCTCTAAATTATCCAAATAAACATTAGCGGACACCAAGTTCTTTGAAAAAAATGGAGTTCTGGGCCCTTTGTATAACAACTTAAAACCATGTTTAAAACCAATATCTAGCATTGTTGCAGAAGGATATGGAAATAACGAACAGTATTCAATCTCAACGTCCATTAAACAAATATACAAAATAAGAGCAGAGCAAACACGGACCCCCGAAACATCAGAGGTGGGATCAGGTGCCATGGAGGAGTAAGCATCCCCTGCTGACCGGTCACACCCGCCGTGTGCTCGTTGTCATAATCAGGATATAACGGAAAAAATCCGTGGTCAATTCAGTGTATAAATAATGGACTAACAATTGGTATGAAAAACGTCAGTCAGCATTTCATTCAATGATAAATTGTATTTGCTGACAAGGTCATTGTATCGACCATAGAATTTACGAAATGATGACTTCAAACGAGACTGTTGATATTCTTGTTTCATCAACTTGCTTGTCAATAATTTACCTCGTTTAAGAAATTGTTCATACGTAGAGCATGCTCTTGCATATCGAATCAACTGAGATATAAATACTCCGTATGCAGGTGATGAAGGTATATTGCTGCATAAGTAAGGGAAGTTGACGATAGAAAAGTTAAAGTCATCACGTTTATCATATAGCTTGGTTGTTAGATTACCATTAGTGTCTTTTTCAAGTAAAATATCCAAGTATGAAGCAGAAGTGTCGGACTCTGTGGTATCTTTTATTTCAAGCTCACCAGGATATATCGTGTCGACGTAGGAATGAAAATTATCATTATTAATAGACAATACGTCGTCGATATATCTAAATGTCGAGTTGAAGGCCACAGCAAGTGTTTTCTTCTTTTCACGTAAAAGATTTTGCATAAATTCTGCTTCATATGAATATAAAAATAAGTCTGCTAATAACGGAGCGCAATTTGTACCCATGGGAATTCCAATAGATTGTTGGAATACCTGGTCTTGAAAAACCACATAGATATTGTCAATAAGAAACTGAAGCATCTTCTTGATGTCAACTTCAGAGTACTTATGTGTGCAATCAGAATCTGTTTTAACAAAATAATTTTTAAATGACCAATGACGAGGTAAGTAAACTTACGAGTTCCATTTTTGTTGAAGAAGCAGCTGTCAATGATATCAAAAAGCCTGGATTTTAATTTGTCGTGGGGAATTGTTGTGTATAAAGTTGAAAAGTCGTAAGTTTTTATGCTGTTGATTTTTGTAAAGTCTTGTGATTTCAGATTGCTTGTTCGGATATTCATCGAGATAATTTGAAAGTGCATTATTTACAATTTGGGTATTTCCCAGGGACCGCAGTTGTTTGCCATATCTATTTTGTTAAGAAAGCATTGTGCTTTGTTGTGAAAGCGGTATTTGACTGCTTGGTTTGACTCTGTCAACTTGAGGTG